TCTCCATCCAATCAGCTTACCAGTGAAAATGGCTTCAGAAAGTTACTGCCGTTGCCACGGTTCATTCTGTATAGGCAGCCAGGAACAGCTTCTGCCACCCTCAAGCCCTGCTCACATGTTTGTACGTGTGTCTCAGTTCCAAAAAGATCAAAAATGAGAACAAGAGTAAGTTCCAAATCAGTTGTTATTATAAAACTCTCATTTTGGTACTTAAAGTTGGGGGATGTTGCTTTCATGAGGAATAAGAAGCTTGTTATACAGCATCTGACCCCAGTCCTTCTACTCATAGTTTAAATTGGTAACAGACTTGGGCTAAAACTGGTCCTGTCCTTAAAGGACCAGCATACTCTGTTACAGAAGCTAATTAGTATCTGCTGTTTTGCTAATTAAAACAGCTGTTTGCCTTTTCCTCTTTAGGGATTTTAAGGACAAGTTTTTAATTGTTAGTAAAGCCTTGGCAGTTCTTTAATTAGCAATAGGTGAACTTCAAAAGGTTGAGCAACTCATTTCTCTTGTACAAAGCTTATGTAAAACTTTATCTTGGATTTGCAATTCTGTACTAGAGAACTCAGGCTATACTGTAAAATTTCTAGGATTTCTAGGATGTCTGTTTCCTACTCCAAAAAAAGACAACACATAGTTCAGGATACTGTGTATATTTGGCTCGGTCAGACCCAAATATTTGAAAATCAGTTGAAGGGCCTCCTAAATGATTTCTTTAAAACTCACCTTTGCCAGGTGGAATATATGGTTTTGTATTTGTGTTACAGAATTCTAATTCAAAAGGACAAAAACATCTCTTATTGCATGATCTAATTAATGTAGATCTAGTATTACTGTATAGTTTTTAGTCTTTTTCTTTATTATACTTTGTTACTTTTTTGTTGAAATGTTGCCCCTGTGGTTATCTACTTGCAGGCAAATCCATTCAGCATCCGTATATGACTACTTTAAATACCATCTGTAGCATATGGACAATACTCACCCTTTCTAATAATGATTAATAATACATTTAAGAGCTAAATCAAAGGAAAACAAATACAATCTGATTATCAGTGTGCTACTGTGCTTCAACTATGTATTTTTTTTTTTTTTAAGATGCACTGTTTTGAAGGAGTTTAAATATAGTAGCTATTTATTTGTTAAATAAAATACACATACTTTTTGATCTGGGCTTTCCTTTTTTTTCTACCCCCCCCCCTTTTTTTTTTTTTTCCTCCAGTGACCTTTTTGCATTTGTCATGCCATTAGCATTTGTAGGTTGGCATAGCAACTCTTATTTCTGCACTCTCCTCCTCCTCCTCCTTTTTCCTACTTCTGTAGGAAATGCATCTCCTTTTAGTGAATTCTATGTGGAACACTGATGCGTTTAGGTTTTAATGTGTACATTAAGTACTAGGGTATGATTTTTGCTAGGAAAGGAGACCTCTACAACTTACTGGTTTAAAAATACAAGTTCTCAAAAGGAAAACAAAATAACCATCTTGGATGACAGGAGTATGATTTAGAAAACAATCCAGTATTCTTTACAACACAAGCATTTTAGGATAGTTTTCTTTGAATATGGAAGATAAATTATTTCTCTGGGTGAGGTTGCTCAGGTCTTGGGACTGTATATACCTTAAGTTTTTAATTAATTCTTCCCCCCCCCCCCAAACTGATGCCTTAATGTTGTTTTTAATAATTCTTTACCAGAAGTTATTCAATTATTAACAGATTACATTGAATAATTTTAAAGTGATTTCTTGGCATAGTAAAATGCATATTACAATCTGTCTTGGTATTGACATGCACTTAAGAATTAGAAGTAGAAAATCCCACTCTTTGATGTAATTAAGGAGCCAAGATCATGTCAATCTCAATGTCTAATGCAGACTATAGAAACCATTGCCTCTAGAAGGTATTGTAAAATTTAGTTTTATGTATGCCACTGTTTGCATGAGCAAATTTAAATCTTTCATTATCTATATAACTAAACCTAAATTTACTAAATTAACTTAATTTAAATTAAAAGATTGGAAATTAAAATTTACATTTGAAAATAAAAAAATAAATTTACTTAATCTAAATTTACTAAATTTGATCTACTGTTACTGGATGCAGATCGTGTTGTTTTATACCCTGTATTCCTTGAGCTGCAAGTGGAATGAATAGAGTCAGTGATGATAAGCATAGCAGAAAGTGACACTGGTGTATAGGGCTTTCTTGTTACAATCCCAGGCATGTAATTTAATTCCAGTTAATGTAATGATTTTTTTTGAACTCAAATATGAACGTAGATTTTATTTCCCCATTCCTTATAGTTTTCTTCTACAATCAAGTAACTCTGCCGTATTCTTTGTGATTAACATAAGGACTTTCTTCTTCCCAGAATCATGCAGTTCGTATGATGAAGTTCAGTTGCTGGTTTCCTTTTGCTTCTTGACAAAACCTTGAATCCGGAGACTCTTTCTTTGTTTTTGTTTCTAGAACATCTCTGTCCCTGGCCAACCCAAATGACTCATTTTTGTGTTTCTCTCTACTGAGTCCAGTAGGTGCCCATCCTGCTTCATTCTTACCTACTGCCCCCACTTTCAAAAAGGATCTCCTTGCTAAGCAGTTCTCAACAGCATTTAGCTTGTAAATGATAATCAGTCAATAGTAGGTCTTCAAAATCTAAAAAAGTTTATGTAAAATCTTTGGATTGTTTTAGAACAGCAGCTTTGTGTGTGTATACCACAGTATATCATTT